CAGATTCTTCCTTTTTAGATAAGGCGGAGCTATGTTTCATACTACAAATTACACTAAACCCTTAAGAAAATACTATGAATTAAATAATAAAGCAACAATAGAAAGAATAATAAAAAGAAACTTTCATTACGCACTTGACTGCGCCATTGGGACGAACTGACTGATCTGAATCTAAAGAAATCGCCCTAAAAGATAAAAAAAATTAAAATGAATAATAAATAAAGGGATTAGTAATCCCAATAAATGCAGATAAAAAGGATCAAATCGTCACACACCTGACTGTACTGCTGCAATGAATCAACCGATCTGAATTTAAGAAATCACCCTAGAAGATAGAAAAAATTAAAATAAATAATAAAAAAGGGGATTAATAAATGCAAAAAAAAGATCAAATCATCACACACCTGACTGTGCCACTGTGACAAATCGACCGATCCAATTCTAAAGAAATCGTCCTAGAAAATAGAAAAAATTAAAATAAATAAATAAAAAAGGGGATTAGTAATCCCAATCAATGCAAAAAAATGAATCAAATCATCACGCACTTGATTGCATCGCTGTGATGAACTAACCGATCCGAATCTAAAGAAATCGCCCTAGAAGATGAAAAAAATTAAAATAAATAATAATAAAAAGGAGATTAGTAATCCCAATCAATATAAAAAAAAAGAATCAAATCATCACGCATCTGATTACACCGCCGTGATGAGCTGAAGGCGTCCAATGTGTCGCATCCAAAAGGACGGAATCGTTCTGTATTTTTTTTTTTAATTTATTTATTTTTTTTAATGTCTTTTCACCCCCTTTTATAATTTCATTTTTATCTTTCCGTTTTTATTTAATTTATTAATTTATTTATTTATTTTTTTTTTTTTTAGTTTTATACATACCAATTTTTTTTATTCGTCCCCCTCCACCCCAGTTTATCTTTTTTTTTAAATTTTGTTTTTATATTTTAATTTATTTAATTTATTTTTTTTTATTTTTTATTTCGTTCATCTTATTCAACTTTTAATTTAGATTTTTTTTTTTTGTAGTTTTTATATATAGATTTTTTTTTTATTCATCCCCCCTTTTTTTCCTCCTCTACTTCCCCCCTCCCCATTTATTTTTTTTTTATTATTTTTAATTTCGTCTTTATTTGGGATTGGGATTGGGATTGGGATTGGGATTTGGGATTTGGGATTGGGATTGGGATTGGGATTTGGGATTTTTTTCGATTCTAACTCTCATAGGTTATAACTCAATGGGCATTGGGTATTGTCCCAAATCCCATAAGTATGGGTAACAAGTATAGTCGAGATTGAAGATATCTATAAAGATATGGCAGAACGACCAGATCTCTTTACTCTTAATGGGAATGTAACTATTGGTAAGTTTAAGGATAAGACCCCTGATAATATAATCACTGAGTCTATACATATCCGGGCTAAGTCTTATCACTATGTTTTAGCTGATAAGACTACGAAATCTAAGCATAAAGGGGTTAGTAAAAAGGGTATGGGCGAGATGGTTACAGATTTATATATATCAGCTTTAGAAGGGTCCTTGCTAGATAATCCGTTAGATAAGTCATTATTAACAGAACAAGAAGCTAAAGATTTGGCTATGCGATCTGAGACAGATCCCATAATATTAGTATATCGAGACTGTCTTTTTGGTAAGGAAGTATTCTATGTAAAGAATGTAGGTATCTGATCAAAGGATCACATATTATCCCTGGTCGAATCTGA